GCTAATTTTTGTATTTTTAGTAGAGATGGGGTTTCACCATGTTGGCCAGGCTGGTCTCGAACTCCCGACCTCAAGTGACCCCCCCTCCTCAGCTTCCCAAAATGCTGGGATTACAGGCATGAGCCACCATACCCAGCCCAACTCTTCTTCAAATCCTTTTGTGGACATGTTTCCTTTCTTCTTGGGCGAATGCCCAGCAGTGTAAGTGCCCGGTCATGGCACAGTTGTATCATTTTACACTCCCACCAGCAATGTCTGAGAGTTTGAGTGGCCCACATCCCCACCGACCCTTGGTAACGGCAGTATTTTAAATTTTGCCCATTCTGATGGTCTGCAGTGGTGCCTCACTGTGATTCTAATTTGCATCCCTCCAAAGACTGATGAGTAGAACACCTGCGCCCGGCCTTCCTGGGGCTTCTGATGGTCAGATTTGGGGCATCTTAGATGGATCTTCTAATTTTTAGTCTTTTCTCTCCCCTATTCTTCATCTCTGTCCTTTTGTTTCACTTTCTGGAAGATTTTTCTCAAATGTGTCTTGCAGTTGATCTTTTCTGCGACAATACCGCTGAGGTCCGAGCACGTTCCCCGCAGCCCTCCGTGTTCCTCCGGGTTCCCTGCAGCCCTCCATGTTCCTCCCGGGCGGCGTCGCGCTCCTGAGAACGCGCATCGTGGGCTTTACTTTGCCCGCCTCGCTTGCTCAGGTTTTCCACTGCGTGCCTGTTGGTGTCTTGTGTTGATCACGCAACATAGCATGCCTGAGATTTGTCTATGCTCCTGACTCTCAGCAGTGGCACTGCCGGGTACACTCACCACACTTTGCTTCTCCCCCTTCCTGTTGATGGATGGTTGGTTTTCTGGTCTTGGTTATTACAAACAAAGCTGTTATCACCAACTCTTTTGTTTGTCTGTTTTGAGACAGGATCTTGCTCTGTAGCCCAGGCTGGAGTGCAGTGGCATGATCTTGGCTCACTGCAACCTCCACCTCCTGGCTTCAGGTAATTCTCCTGCCTCAACCTCTCCAGTAACTGGGGTTACAGGCACCCGCCACCACGCCCAGCTAATTTTTGTATTTTTAGTAGAGATGGGGTTTCACCATATGTAGACGTCTTGCACATCTTGTTGTTATACATATTTCTAAGGGTTTACAGGCCTTTTAAAAAACTATATAAATGTATCTTTTTTTTTTTTTTTTTTGGGACAGAGTCTTAATTTTGTCAGAACTGCTGAGGCCCCCGTCAGATCCAGTGGCCCTGCAGGTGTGAGCCCGTCTGGACCTTGCTGGGTTCCATTGGTGTGTTTCTCTATCCTTAATGACAGTACTACACTGTCTTCGTTACTGTCGCTTCATAGTCAGTCTTGGCATTGAGGAGTCACGTAGTTCCTTCAATTTTCCATTTTTCTTTAATTGTTTTGGCTGTCCTAGGCCCTTTGCATCTTCATGTGAATTTTAAAAGCAGCTCGTCAGCATCTCCAAAAAGAAAACCTTGTGAGATTTGGATGGGAGAATATGTCGAATCTGTACATCATTAGTTGACAGCATTGAGCCTTCCAGCCCGTGATCTAGATGGATCTCCCTGTGTCCTTAGGCCTCCCATAGTGGTGATCAGCCATGATTTGCGATCTTCA